TCATATGCTTTATTCATTTGCTCAGACATTCTGCATTTAATAAATACTTGCTGAACTTCACTGTGTGGTAATCTTGCTACAGGCTTAGGGATGGCATTCATCACTTGCGGGGCATTGACAAACAGCAACATTCTAGTCCTTTATGCTTTAATATTCTAGGATTATATAACTTCCAGCTACTATCAGTTCCAGTTATTCACCTTTCACCTAGATCTGACAGATTCTCAGCCCTCTGTTAACTGTCCCTTCATTATACATCTTTCTCTAACTTCTTTGAGTTTAACCTTTTTTACCCCAGGTGAAACTTTGATTGATTTAAACAAGTTCATTATGATATTTTGGTAGTTAATCTTATGTGTAAGTAAAGTGAGTCAATTAATCAACTAGAAAGGTACTTGAGGAATGTGCACTTTGAGCAGAATAAAAAACATATGCAAAGGTCCAAAGTCATGCTTGGACTGGTTATTAATTAGTAAATGAATTAAGACTAATATGACCTGAATAGCACAAAGAGACAGAAATATGGCAAAATATGGCATCAGAGGAATTGTCTGAATTGAGACCACACAAGGTAAGGCAGAACATACTATTAAGCTGAGATTTAGTCTAAGATTTTTGAAAAACCATAAGCTGGTTTGGAGTAAGAATTTAATTAATGCAATTTGAACTTAAAATAGAGAAAGTAATATAAAATGGGAGATAAAACAGATTTATAGATAACAATTGGATTGCTGATTCTTTATATACTATTGAATAAATCCAAGAGATTATGATGCTAGGGGTTGTAAGAGGTAGCTAAGTTAAACTTCCATTAAGACATTTGTGGTAGGATTTGATGATAGATCAATCATCTGTTGGACCTGAACAGCTAGTAGTTCATTCAGTCATTAAATCAGGCACCTAGTTTGGAGAAGTTAGGTGGAAACTTGATTTGATGTTTCATCAACTTAATAAAACTTAACTCCAGAGATATCCAAATATAAATTGAAAAGACAATATGAAAATGGAAGGACAAATCTTAGCTGAAAATAGAAATCCAGAATGAGTTCGGCCTGGAGAGATGATTCAGGAATTAAGAGTGCTTGCTGATCTTATGGAAGGACAGAGTTCAGCTTCCAGCACCTGCTCATGTTGGGAGGCTGAAACTCTACTGTAACTCCAGTTCCAAGAGAGTTGAAGTCCTCCTCTGGTTTCTGTGGTTACCTGTATGCATGTGTACACACACAGAGACTCACAGACTAATAATGAAGTAAATATTCTAATAAACATTAGAGGGTATCTCACGAGCATGGACAGTATTTAGAATCATAGTACTAAATACAATTATATAAAGGATGAAATTGAACAGGATTTCAGTATATAAATTTAGGATAAAAATAATTTAACCTATCACACTTATAAATCTGAAAATTTACACTGCTTATTAATGGAAATAATTATTACCATGCTTTAAGTACTTTTATATGAAGTGACTTTCGAGTAAATCAATCTGTATGTTTAATTAAAAGCTGATAACATGTATGAAGTTGATCTGGGTTATATGGTTAAGGTGAAAATAAATTAAATTGCTTAATTTTTCTGGATAGTTTTATGTAAACTTGACATAAGCTAAAGTCATCTGAAAAGAGGGAAACTCAATTAAGAAAATGCCTTCAAAATATTGTACTGTAGGTAATATCTTACTTAGTAATTTATGAGGGTGACCCAACCATTCAGGTGGTAGAATCCCTGGGCTGGTTTTCCTTGTTTCTTTCATAAAGCAGGCTGAGGAAACCATGGGAGAGGCAATACAGTAGACAGTGCCCCTTAATGGTCTCCTGCATCAGCTTCTGCCTCCTGGTTCCTCCCGTTTGAATTCCTGTCTTGATTTCCTTCAGTGATTAGCAAGCAATACCAAATGTAAGCCAAATAATTCCTTTCCTCCCCAAGTTGCTTTGGTTATGGCATTTCATCACAGCAATTGCAACCCTAACTAAGACATCATTCATAATTGTCATTTCTCCCTTTGCATTGCCTTTGGTAGCAGGTGATTTTTTTATTTATTTCTTGCAAGTGAATAATTCTTTTCTTTACAGATATAAAATAAATATCGGGAATAGCCCTGAAAGGTCTTCAAATCCATATTTTCTCATGTGAGGAAGATTGAAATCAGAACCAGATAACTGACATTGAAGTCACATGATTAATCTCTACAGCTCCATTATTCCCAGTATATGCCAAGGGGGAAAATACAACAACTCCTTGAACATGAGTTCATAGAAGGGAAGTGCAGCTAGACCATGAGTTCAGTGTAATGAGTAGTTTATAGCAAGCATGCAGGGAGATAGCATGCTTCATGCTGCCTTTTAGTGTCTACCCAGAGCTCTTGACACAGATTGCCTCACTTTCCGGGAACAGAGCCTTCCTAGAACTTGAGAATTCTAGCTCCATTTATTAGGTCCATCCCATGAGCCTAGCTTTCCAATTAAAGAAAGATTGATGGTGTATAGCTGAGTCAAGTGCTAATTATTAAACTTATGTAAGTACTTCATACCTTGGGTAATATGAAGTCATCATTATTAATTTCTTTGAAGAAATAAACCAAAGAGAAGATTAATGGTCATTAGGTGTAAGCAGTGACCTATATAAGGTATACAATGAAGTGAAGGAAATTCTATAACCTTGTAAAAATGATAGGTTTTGCATGTTTTAGTGAGCCAACATTTCAAAAATAAGTTTATAAAACTTTTTATCATTTTTCTATGATTTAAAAAAATTAGTTCTTTGGGAATGTCATACAAGGTATTTGATCATATTCACCCACCCTCCCCCAACTCTTCCCAGATCCATCCCTTTTCCCTAGTCTTTTAGCTAGGGCTTCCATTGTTGTGATAAATACTAGGACCAAAAGCAACTTGGGGAGGAAAGGGTTTGTTTCATGAATAGTTAACAGACCATCACTGAGGGAAGTCAGAGGAGGCACAAACCTGAAGGCAGGAACTGAAGCAGGGGCTATGGTGGAACACTGGTCAATGGCTTGTTCCTCATGGTTTTCTTAGTCTGCTTTGTATAGCACCAGAGACCACAAAACCAAAGGTTGGCACCTCCCACAGTGAGTGGAATTCTTCCACATCAATCACATCCAATAGGTTTGTTTGCCTGCAGGACAATTGAGGGTCCATTTTCCCAAATGACACTAGCTATGTGAAGGTGATGTAAAACTGACTAGTATATACCACCCAACTTTGTATCTTTGCCCCACACCCTATAATGGCTAGTTTGTGCTACCTAAATATTCTTAGATGTATAGTCTGCTACTGGGGCAAGGTTGACTGGCCAAGGATACTTAAAGAGGAACTTCATTTTCCCCATCTAGCACCTAAGAGTGGCCGATAGCTCCTCAGGTAGAGATGAAACTTCCTGTCCATCTTTCTCCTCTCCATGAAGAGACTGGCTATTTTTGTCACATGTGTTGATGAATACATTTAGATAACAACAGGTATATTTCTCAAAGATTTTATGCTCATTTATGAAAATTACAATAGTTGTCAGAAAACATGACTCTTTTTTTCTTACTATATTAAAGAAATGGCAGGCCAAAGGAAAAGGCAAGCTACTTTGTCAGCAAACAACTGAGGCTGAGAGGGCTATGAATATAGCCCAATATAAAGCTGTAACCTTTATTTAAACATTAGGAGAGTATTTTTATGGGTGTGGGGTTTTGTTTTGCTTGTAACTTGATTATTTAATTCTTCAAAATGAACCTTGTAACTGGCAACATTGCATTGAAATGATAAAACATTGAACTTGGCTTTTCATGTTCAGGATCCCATCAAGTTATTATCATCATCATCATCATTGTTATTATCTATTGATTTCTCTATTCTTAATTCAAAAGCACAGCTCATATTGCCAAAGGGAACAAATGATAGATTGTTTTTTTTTTATCAAGAGCCAAATTTGAGTGTCAGTGACCCAGAAACATAAATTTAAGTTACCTTGGTTATACCTTCTAATATGGAGGCAGTTTCATGGGTTTTTAATCATAACAGAAAACAACAGGAAGTTATTAATTAAGACATTTGTAAAACACATTGGTGGAAACATCAGAAAATCCAGTTAAAGCAAGATGAGGACAGAATCAACCTAGATGTTATGTGACAACATCTCAAACCTAAGGTTTGATTAAGCTAATATATTTCAGAGTGTTTTTAATCTGTTTGTCAGGGTGCCAGTGTCAGATATGGCTAGTCTAAGGAAGCCGTGTGTGTGTGTGTGTGTGTGTGTGTGTGTGTGTGTGTGTTTAAAATTTTGTGAGATTTTAAAATCTGGCATTCTAGTTTATTCTGAAAATGTGATATGATTGGTATCAATTATATCAAGCCCTAGAATTGATATAACAGAATTATCTTCATTTTTATAAACATCACTACCTCTAGAAGTTATGATAGCATCTTTCATTTGTTCATTCATAATAACTCTGATATATATTATCATTTCTCATGTATTATCTTCTCTGGCTATGAATTCAACTTGAAGAGTTAATCTTTTTACAAGAACACCTAAGCTGCTCATACCTCCTAGCATTTTACACATGCATTAATAGAGAGGGGCCATAGAAAATTTAAAAGTTTTGTGGATACAGTACCATCATGGAGTAATGTTCTCAAGAATAATATGTTGATTGAGGTTATTTATTTTGTTCTGTGTGCCCTTTGGCTCAGCTCTCTGTGGTAAAACATTTGTTTTTCTGTCTAGAGCCACTTTCTTTTCATATTTCAAGAACAATTGCCTCCTCACATTTAATTTTCCTTGTACACATCATAAAGAGTTAGACAAAATAATTAGATATTTAAATGTAGGCCATTTTATAGTTTTGTAAGATTCAATATTGTCAGAAAACAAAAATAACTGAAGCATCCTAGCTTTGTTGCCAATAACAATACATTGTGGGCCTGGGTATTGCTGTTGAGTCCATTATATTGTGTAGCATTTAAAATCATCCCTTTTCCTTTTTTCAGGACATCGAATCCCTAACAGGAGGGCTGACTGGTTCTAAGGGGGCTGATCCACCGGTAAGTTAGACTCTCATTAGATATAAGTATTGCATTTAACAGAGAGTTGCTGTATAATATGTGTCATATATTGAGGCTTATTGAAATACAGTTATTGTCATAAATGATTAAAAGTGTAGCATTGATTTTATGGGTGTTCAAGTAGCTTGGTAACCTTTCAAATAATTAGTCTATGTTCAATCTGGTGGCATGGAAGTAAAGAATTAGAGTTGTGACTTATTGGTGAACACTTGCCTAGCATACACAATGTTCTAGATTCAATTCCCAGTACAAAAGAGGAAAAATAGTAAATGCTTTGTTGGAAATCATGAATAATTTTTATTCAAATAGTAGGCTGCACTAACTTGATAACCCAAACAGTGGTCCTAATAACTTTATCATGTCACTTAAGAAAGCACACGTCCCGGTATGAAATTTTGAGTAGGTAAGTATTGAATTTAGTAGGAAAGGGGTATGAGAGAAAATGTGTTCTAAAGGTAACTTTCACTGATTCCTTCCCACCAAAAAGGAAGAAGCATTGGATATCAAACTTTGGATACTTGGAAGAAAAAGTGCACATACACTCTCTCTCTCTCTCTCTCTCTCTCTCTCTCCTCTCCCTCACACACACACACACACACGTGTGCCTGCACACACATGCACATATACACACACACACACACACACACACACACACACACAATTTCTGTTTTAACTTTTTTAAAGTTTTTTATTTAAACTAGAAATAAGTTTGTTTTGCAAGTAAATCCCAGTTCTCTCTCCCTCCCTTCCTCCTCTGTCCCACACTGACCCCCTATCCCAGCCCCTTTCTGCTCCCCAGGGAGGGTGAGGCCTTCCATGGGGATCTTTAAATTCTGTCATATCATTTGGAGCAGGGCCTAGACCCTCCACAATGTATCTAGGCTGAGAGAGTATCCCTCTATGTGAAATGAGATAAATACTGATCCACTACCAGAGGCCTCATAGATTCCCAGGCTTCCTGACACCCACGTTCAGGGGGTCTGGATCAATCCTATAAAGGTTTTCCAGCTATCAGTCTGGTCCATGAGCACCCCCCCTTATTCAAGCTGTTTCTCAAGCATGGTCATGACCCCTTTGTTCATCACTCTTCCCTCTCTGCAACTGGATTACAGGAGTTCAGCTCAGTGTTTAGCTGTGGGTGTCTGCTTCCCTTCCATCAGCTACAGGATGAAGGCTCTAGGATGGCATATAAGTTAGTTATCAATATCATTATCAGGGAAGGGCATTTAGATAGCTTCTCCACTATTGCTTAGATTGTTAGTTGGTGTTTATCCTTCTAGATCTCTGGACATTTCCTTAGTGCCTGATTTATCTTTAAACCTATAATGGCTCCATCTATTATGATATTTCTTTTCTTGCTCTCCTCTATTCTTCCCCTGACTCAATCAGTTTTCCTTTAAGCATAACTTTAAAGATACAGTTTTTTTTATTCCACATATTTTACAAGGATATTGAGTCTTTTTAGTTAGGCTTATCCATTTGGGACTTATTTGAATATATTTGTTTTATAACTTTGACAAATGAGAAACAATGGAGTAGTTAGGGTTTGTAAAGGTACAGGTGATTTATCTAGGCATTCATTAGAAGGCAATAATCTACTGTGTCACATGATTAAAGAGGTATCAGAGGCATATTGTTATAAATTTAGAATGGGGACATTGCATTAGGTTCACTCTAAATTATATATAAAGAGGTCTAGGTATGGAGATGAAATGGCATAATAGCTAGGGTTACTTCATCATTTAAAAATGGGATTTTATTCTAGTTGTGGAGTTCCTGATAATATGACTGAGACTCAAAATTTGATCCCCAGAACTGTAAAGCCACAATTTAAAAAAACCTAGAAATTCAGAAGTTGGATTAAATTATACATATTTCAAATTCCACTGGTTTTCATTTTAATTTAAAATATGGCATAGTAGATAATCAAATACTAATTCCCACTTCAAAAGTTGTCTTTTGTAGATGTATTCATATTATATTTATCAAACCTTTCAGGTAATTTTGCCAATAAAATTTTCATTGGTAAGAATTTCAAAGTCACTTAAAAAGTAAAGTTTAATGAACAGGAGCTGTGAATTAGTGGATGAATAGTTTTTTATGAGGCTGTAATAGAGTGGAGTGATTTAGGTCTTGGTAAAGTATGACACTGAGAAATTTTTAAACATGAAATATTAAAAATTAAAATTTTGCTTTCAGTGCACATAATTAATTTTGAAAAATAAAGTTGTGGAACTTGTTTTATTTCAAAGACTAGGATGTGTTTAATTAGTGCACCCAATGATATTATTAATAAATGGCAAGTCAGGTAAGATTGAATTTGCAGAACTCTAGGAATGCTTGGTATTAATTATTTTAATAATAAATGTTAAGTATGATTTTTGAAAACTCAAGTAACTTTCACCATTAAAGAGAAAACAGTTTACTATTTTTCATGGGTAATTCATAAAGATTTTAGAATGGCTTTAATTTTTAAATAAGTATTTTTAAGAGGGATAAAGCTTTATTAATTAAATCTTATTATTAATTTACATCCTAACCACAGGTCTTCTCTCTCTTCTCCTCCCATTCTTTCTCTTCATCTCCCCTCTATCCATCTCGTATATCTACACCTCCTCCACCTCTGTTCAGAAAGAAGGCTTCCCATGGGTGTCAACAAAGCATGGGTATACCAAATTGATGTAGAACTGAACATTAGGAGCAGGTTCCCAAAAGCCAGTGGGACAGGCCCCACTCCCACTTCCAGGAGTCCCATAAGTAACAAGCCACAGGACACTCACATATATCTAGAGGGCCCTGGCTGGACCTATGTAGGTTCCCTAGCTATGGTCCATGGTCCACAGTCTGTCTGTGAGTTCTCATGAGCAGGCCAGTTGCTTCTGTGGGTTCCTTTGTGATGACTCTGACATACCCCTGACCCTCATCCCATCTCGGACTCCTCAACGGGTTGTCCTGGGCTTAGCCCAGTGCTTAGTTAGGGATCTCTGCTTCTGTTTCCATCAGTTACTGCACTAAAGCTCTCCAGTGACAATTGAGGTAGTTTTAGAATTTGATTACAGGAGATGACCAGCTCAATCTTAGCTGGGGTCAGATTGTAGATTCATAAAAGTTTCCCTTGCATCAGATTTCTACTTGACCCAGAAATACAACCCCCCCATTTCTGGGCATCTATTCAGTGTTCTCCTCCTCCATCCTTCCCTCAACCCAATACCTCAAGTCCAATATTCAGGAGGTCTCTTCTATTTCCCCTTCCCAGGGAAATCCATGCATTCCCCATTTGGACCCTCCTTGTGACCTAGCCTCTCTGGGGCTGTGGATTGGAGCATGGTTATCCTTTACTTATGGCTAATATCCATTTATGAGAGAGTGCATATCATGTTTGTCTTTCTGTGTCTGGCTTACCTCACTCAGGATGATTTTTTTTTTTTTTTTAGTTCTTTCCATTCGCCTTCAAATTTTCTGATGCCACTGTTTTTAACAGCTGAATAGTACTCCATTGTGTAAATATACTGCATTTTAAGAAGGATATTTTAAAATAGAAACTCTATGATGCTGTTGAGAATAGAACTTTAGCTCTAAATTATGTATTTATCCTAGAATAATAATTGTGCAGTTACTGAGAAAAAGTGTTTGTTAATATCTTAGATTTGGCTTCAAAAATTTTCTCAAAGGATGTTCACCATTCAGCATACACTTTCAGTTCATATAAATTAGATCAAAGATTAATATTTATCATAAAAAGGTAGTATATGTTATGTAGAAATGTTTGTTTTGTAGTGTTAGGTGAAATAGCCCATAGACTTGCTTGCACATGCATTTGCTGTACCTCCAATCTACATTTTCAATCCCCAATTCATTATTGAAAAGTACATTTCTTCCTCAAAATTTATGTATTCTATTTCTGTATATTTAAGCAAATGAAAATTAAAATATTTATGAGTTGAATTCATATTTCACAGTCACAGGCTTTTTCTTGTCAATAACAGTTAAACAACAGAATTTTAAAAATGTCTATACAGAATATACCTTCTAACATGTATTACAGATGACCTGTAGCTTACAAAAAAGAAGTTGAACATAGGTTACATTCAAATAGTCCTATGTTTCATTGTAAAGGAATTGAATACCTGCAGATTTTGCAGGGGATCCTAGAACTAAGCAGCCCTTTGCAGTGAGAGACGATTGCATACTACTTTCACATTTTGAAATCATTACCAAAATTAAAATGCAAAAAAGGGATCCTTGGTACCTCTCAAGAAGCATAGAGCCTATATGATCAAATAATTAGCTTATCCCTACAAAGACTATGGTGAGGAATAGGAATCTCATTTCAGAGATCCAGGAGAATATGAGAAGCTGATGAACTAGGCATCTGGAATGCAGGATGTGCACTTCCCCGTGATCTGACTCTGAGTAGTGCATACAGGTGTTGACTAGATCTTGGGCTGGTGCCATAATTCTTTCTAAACTTCAAGCTAAATCCAAGTCCACAGATGGGTTTAGAAAATCAGGTTGAAAAAAAAGAAAAAATTATAATGACACACATGTCAGCAGAACATGTACCAAAGGATTTATTTTATAATTTGGTTATATTCTGGAGTATGATTGGGAATATACCCTGTTTGTAACTAGCAATTATACTCTCGAAAAGGTGATGTTTCTTAAGGTCATTGTGAATAAAATCTTATAAGGAGTGATGTGGGCCAAACTTAAACAACATGAAGCATGTTCTTGAATACATGGTAACATATATCAACATATACTGGGCAAATGTGGACACATTTCACTCTACTTCAGGGTGTAATTGAGTTTTAAATCTGTCCCATTGGCTCACTCAGAAATTACAGCAAGAATGCCACTGGGAATGTGCTTCTTTGTGTTTTGTTTTTATATCATAAGCAGTAAATTTTTCGTTTGCTTAATATTGGACTGGGTCTATTTTTAATTGTTCTAAGATTCTTTTTGTGAAATGCCAATGG